GGCAAGAAAAATATAAAATATATTTATTTTTGACTACGAAAATCATAGTGTTAGGTACCATGAGCACATGACAGATTCAAAAGTTTCCTATGGGTTCGTCTATAAAAAATAGTTTTTATTAAAGAAAATAGTCAAAAAATTAATTAATTTCTTTTTATTTTTAAGAATTAAATTAAAATTTATTGAGCCAAGAAAATTTGTTGTGTTGGAACTAGTTGTGGAGGAATAATTGCAAAATGTAGTCGTTAGACCGCTACAGCTGAAGATATAACATTTTATTTAAAGCGAATTTTATGAAATGTGTGGTTTTTTTTTAAATATTTTAATGTAACAACTAAAAAATATTTTTTTTACAAAACCCTTTGAGATATATAGTATATAATTTCCAGTTATCAAGTGCCTTAAAGACATACATAAAAAAAAGTCACACTTTTGTTAATTCAAACTTTTGCCCATTATTTTTTAACAATACAAGCTTAACGGTCTAAAATTTAATGTCCCTTTTTGTGCAATAAAATTTCAGTGTGTACAATTCGATTGGCAAAAGAGCAAACAAAGCCAGTGAAAGCCAAACAAGTGGCCAGACTTTGCCCATTTCACACAGATGTTTAACAAGCCGGCCCGGGTCATAAATCATCCGAATGGATATATTCACCGCGTTTTATCCATCTCCCATTTGTTGGTTAGCATATGACCGTGGCGGCGATCGAGCAGATCCTCGGGGTGAAAACTCGCTGACATTGACAGTTTCTAATAAGAAAATTGGCCAAGATTTATGCTCGCGCTGTTGACTTCCATTTTAATTTAAAACTAATCAATAATCTGGCACAGCCAACTGCGCGGCACGGAGCAACCAAAGTGTTCAACAAATTGCCAAATGATGCTGCAAAGTGCAATGTCACAGTAATTTACGTGCCACTCGAATGGCACCATGCTCAACAGCCACAAAGCTGATGAGAATTTATGCTAAGGGTTAAGTGTCAGCCTCGTCAATATATGCATTGTGGGTGGCTTCGCTGACTGCTGCCATTAAATTGTATTTAACCAATTTCGGCATGAGATCATCATTGTCTGGCCTAGCACATTTTGAAGTATGCAGTTGGAAAATATGGAATAGTCTTAATTGCCGTACCAAAAATAAAAAGTACATTAAACATTCTTGTTTATTTTCTCATTTAGTTTAAATATTAATTACTGATTCGTAGCTAACAAATAAATATTATTAATATGAAACAAAAACTTTAGGAGGTTTTAAGATTTTAAAGCTATGAAACTAATATCATTCAATTAATATAAAAATCTCCAAATCAAATATTTTGAAAAAATTGTTTTCAAGGTTAGTGAACGAAGTTAAAAAATATTTAAAACATAGAATACTGACAAAATAGGCTATAAATCATTTTCTAAGATTATTAATTTCACCCCATTGTACTGCAATTTTGCGGCTCTGGCCGGGTTGTGCGTGTGTGTGTTTGTGCGGAAAAGTGAAAAGTCATGAATCATATACATCATGATCACACCAAAGCGAACCACACCACACGACCATGGCGAACTAGGATGGATGATGATGATGATGAAGCTGCAGCAGCCGAGGCATCCGATATGCGCCTGGATGGGCCATAAAGTTACATGGCTTATCGCTGGAAAACTTTTAAGAAACACTTGAGATTGCGCCCAGAACGAGCGCGGTGGCCGACCCAAAGCGAAGAGCGCTTGGAAGACGCGTCTACGAACAGGTATACCTCTTCTCCATAAGAGCCTAAGCACACACCGCCAATAGAAAGATCCACAGAAATGAAGAAGGGGGGCTTTGGGGATCGAGGATGGCGAATGGAGAAGTTGTTGGTGGCTTGTGTCTACAAATAGACGCGCACTGACGGCCGCAAGACAAACTCAAACAAAAGACCCAAACGGTAGTTGCCATGAATGGACAACAGGCTCAAAACCGGCTGGGAACTACAGTAGATCTTCTATAATTTTAACAATTTTAATTATCTAAGTAAAAAAAAAGTTCTAATGCTCAGATTGTTGGTCAGATCACAAGAAGCTTATCAGCAAAGTTTTCCTGTGTTTGGAGGAATTAATTTAAAACCAAGATAACTCTGAAGATTTACTAAAATGAGGTAAATAGTACATATTTTCCTAAAATAGGAGAATCACTTAACTGAATTATTTATAAAGCTCTAATGTAAAATCGTTTTTTTAACCAAAAATTATTAAGGGGTAAAGATAGATTTGTAGCATTCCGGCAGAAATTTCATATTATACAAAAAAAAAAACACTTAAAATTTAAATTTAAAAAATGGTAACTAATTATTTTACCAACAAATTAATAATTTTTAAATCAATTTTGATTTTTAGGGTTAAGATAAGGATCACAATAATCTAAGCAGTTCCTAGCTTAGCAAATTAAAAGTAATTAATAATATATAGAGTATTAAAGTATTGGAAATCGAACCCAACAATTCTTTTTAGTGCCACTCACTTTCATTATAATAAGAAAAATTCGCCAAATGAAAGTTCTTGGTAGAGAAGTTGAACTGTATGCGCATCTGACGAATACGGGGCGCAGACTCCAAATGAAACTCCATCCCGAACGCAGTTGCAAATGCAACTTTGTTGCCCGTGGGCACAGCATGGACTCCTCGGCCGCACCAACTATTTATTGGAATGGACCTCGGGACTGGGACTCGGACTCCGACGCAGTCGCAGATTCAGATAGGGACCCCATTAAATTCCGGCGCACGCACCGGCGAATGCGAATGCATTTTGTGTGTTCGATAAGCGCGGGTCGGCGGTTCCCACAATCGACGTTGCACTTGAATTTGAATTCGCAATTGCTCTCTAAATATTTATGAGTTGAACTCTGTAGTTAGTTTCTTAGCCTGCGATAATGAAAGTGCTGCAAGCAAGGGATTGTTGGAATGAAAAGCCACGTCTATGATAATGGGGAAACCTTCTTGTCGGTATATTTAATGGATGATCTTCGTTAATTAGGACGTGTTTCAGAAATTCTAAAAAAAAATATAACAAATTATTTTTATAAAAAACTACCTTATAAACACTGCCCCATTTTCAAACGACAAAAATTGTTAATTCCCTATCTTGAATTACAATTGTTGCAATCTAATCACCTAGAATATTTATGGCTTTCTTATCTTATAAATGCTTGCAATTAAACGTCATTTTCAGATTTTGCCTAGCACTGATTTTCTCGAGCAAATTAAAGGAAAACTTGATCCAGATGGCTCAACATCTATCAACATCCCTTATCGAAGCCCATTAATCAAGATTGTGTCATAGGTATTAGCTCATTTGGGGGCTCAACATGAATTCGACTCAGGGTCTATGGGGATCGAATCCAACATTGGAACATTTGGGTGATTACACACTATTACTGTTGTCAACTGCCAGCGGTAACATTTTATTACGTGAGCCCCGTGCTTTTTTCTTTACCCCTACATTTAATTCTAATGTAATTGAAAATGTGTCCGGCTTTCGCTTATCGAAATGTTTGTGGCTTGGGCAACCGCAACCGATTGCTAATGGCCTGGAAAGCTACCCGAATGGGTGATGATGAATTTGATTGCGTTGATGAAGTTTTGAGCGTTGCAACAATATTTATAAATAGGTGCAGCGATATTAAAGATAAGAAGAAATGGAAAATTTTTAGTTATTTGACCTACATTTTGTATTTTTGATTTGGATTAAAGAGTCTATAACTTTTACCAGTTTTTTTAATTTTTTTCTAATAGTTAAAGAAACTACATTAAAATTTCCAAACACATAAAAAAATTTTACAGGTGCATGAGAAAAAGCTTTTTTTCAATTAATTTTAAGTATTTAAATTTAAGAAAATTACAAGAGAAATAACAATCGATCCTAAGTAGCTCAAACGGAATTTCAAGACCTCCGACAACTTCATCCTGATTGCTGTTCGATTTTTAACACTATCAAGGGCCTAAGTAGATACTTAAAATATGTATGTACGCTATTCTACTAAGAGGCTATTTTCAAAAATCTCGGACACCAGTTCAAGGTACAACATCCTGACACGTTCCCTCACAATAAGTGTTTCGCTTGTCTGAAGATAACCCCTGTTGCGCGGAAAGTATCTCGTGGGTTAATGAGGCACCAGAGGCACGTACGCTTGCGTCATCGGGTAGCCGACGAAAAAGAAGGCTCTTTGCCTGAAGTGAAGGAAAAGTGAGACACTAGACCCTTATTCATGCTTTTATGTTTGCTTTTTTCGGACTGACACCGCGATAAGGGACAATTCCTGCAGTCAGCACCTCAATCAGTCAAAACCCATGAAGAACAAATATTAAATTCACAAGTGTTACCGTTGTATTGCAGGCTACCAACTAAAAGATACCTGGTATTTTATGAAACCATATGTTATACTTTTATTGTGGTTGTATAAATATGGGAAACTAAATGACTTTCTAATTCCAAATAATTTTTATGTAAAGTTTTATATAAAGCTTAACTGCATAATTGATTTATAATTAGCTTTATACCTGTGTTAGTAAAATTTAATTAAATTTATGTTGAAAAGCTTTCTCACTATTAATAAATTATATAAAACATTAATATATATGTATGCATACCAAAATTTGTAGCTCTTGAGGAATTTGAGATTCACAATATGCAGTTCATAGGTAGCAATCTGTATCCTCAGATACAATATGCTATTTTCCTCTACAAGTAATGGGCAATAAAAACAAATACAAATACAACTACAACGAAGCGTGAATGAATTTCCTCGGCGCAAATTGAAAAAAGAGTGATAGTGATAGTGGAACTGATAAGCGGCGAGCGCCGTGCTGAGATCGCGTATCAGAGGGAAAGAGAGAGAGCAGAGTGGTGCTGGAAAACCGGTATGTGTGTGGAGAGTTCCGGAGAGTTGCGCTCTCAGCTGGCTCAGAGTGGAGACTCGCCCGACTCTCCGCTGCTCTGGCACTTTTCTGGCTTTTCTGCGCTCAGTTTCGAAACGGACTTCAAAGCTCGCGCAAGCGTACCGCATGCGAATCGGAAAAGAGCCGACTCCGATCGGAAAATCATCTCGAGTCGCGATCGATCAGCCGGCATTTTCTGGCCCGCCACTCTGGATACGGTTTCAAATCGCAAAACGTGCCAAGCTCCTTGGAAAATGTGCGAAAATTGCTAATTTAAACAACGCTCCCATGTGACGTATGCGTAATGTGACCACTGTGCGGATAAATGTAATATGCTTACCTGAGTATAAATAGATACGACTATATGTGTATGTGTGTCATTGACTAGGAATTTTGTTTCGTCTGCAAAATGTGCAAAGTTTTTTACTGTTTACATGGCGAAATTCCAAGAGTCCCAAACTGAGTCACTGGCTAAGACAAAATGAGATAAGATAACCATTTACAAGTAGTAACCAGTACAAAGTAGAAAATTAAATAATGATTATAAAGGTTTTTTTTTAACATAAAAATAAATAAATTATACGTTATATATAAGCCAATTAGTAATCATGTAAAACTCTTTGCACAACAACTCTAAACAGAACCAAAAACAAATGTTAAGTGTGAAGAAAATTAAAATGATAAATATAAATAAGTGTTTTTTGTAAAGCGTTCAACGCCGGCTCTGTAGATGTATTACGAAAACGAATTTAACGAAAAAGCATAAAGGAAAAATCCACAAAAGTACGTGCTATAAAAAGTGTATAAAAAGGGCAGAACGAACGAGGAATTTGGTGCAAGAAGCTGGCCAAAATCGACTTGAAAGGATTCGCAGCTGGAACTGCATCCATCCAGATACTAATACAGATTCGGATACCTTTACCATTGCCGATACAGATACGGATACATACATGAGGCAGCCAGCGAACTACAAAAGATACATGCCATGTTCCCACTAACCAACCGCTCTTCGAGTGGCAATCGCACCAACAACAATACGAACAACAACCACAACAACAACAACAATCAGACCACGAGCTTTATAATCGGAGGTACCAGCAATATTAACAACAACAACCACCAGATCGGTGGCACCAACAACACTAAGGATAAAGGAAATTTTGAAAATAATTGGAGCTGCAATAAAACAACCGGTCGTCGATCTGGAAGTGGAAATAGCTGCAGTTTTTTAGGTACATTTTAATTAAAGCATTTAAATTTCCCGTTAATTAAAAGTTTTAAATACTTAGGGGGGGTTTAACAAGTTTAGGAAATACGCTATGCATTAAAAGATTCAATGGTTTTTATATAAAACAAGATGTTTTTTATTTTGAAAGATTGATTTAAGGTTAAACATATTTTCTTTAATATTAAAATATTTTACATAGCCTTATTCCTTATTATTAAGTTAATCAATAATAATTAATTTTATTTTATTTTTTTTCCATTTTCATTTCTGGTTAGTAAGGTCAATCAAATATTTTAAAAGATACATTTATTTAAAGTTGATATAAAATTCAAGTAAATTCACATGAAATAATGCTTCATTAGTAAGACTCTGCCCATTGCACTTAAAATATTTCGGTGCAATCTCGAGTAAGGCGGCTTCTTTGATCACTTGAGCTTTATCTTATGACCATCTCATCTCTTTCATTGGAATGGCTGCAATTTCACAAATCGCATTTACCTTTTTCCGTACTGTCGCTTTTATGTCGCGAACTTTTAAAGGGTTGCCTTTTTTAGCAGCAATTTACAATGCAAATTGCATTAATTGCAATTTTCTGTTCAAATTGAGTTTGCTGTTGTTGTCTGTTGCGGTGTTGTTTCTGTCTTTACATTAAAATGCAAATACTTTGCACTAATTTACATGTCGCGCCGCCGGTTGCAGTGGAAAATGTAGCCGCTCTCCCCTTGTTTCCTCGACCATAAAAACGCCCGAAGAGACAATGGAAGTCTTTTGTGATGATCATCACACACGACCCGCTTGCGTTGGTGTGGGTTGGTATCTGTGTGAGTTGGGGGGAGGAAGTGTAAGTGCGAGCTTGAACCATGTGAAATGCCATTAAAATTCCAGAGTCTTTCTGGACTCCTTCCTCTTCTTTGTCTTACGAGGTATTTGCGAAATACCAGGTTGTATTGAATTCAACTTACATTCGATGGCAATTAGAAGAACGTGTTTTTACGAGTGGTTTTAAGCTAATGAAACATTTCTAACTTTTTAGAAATAAATTTAAGACTTACTGTTAAATATTAACGAAAATCCCATTCATAATCACTAATAATTTGTGGCATTAGCTACATTTTTTTTAATGTTAAATTGTGTCCCATTGTCAGCAACAAGCAATAATTTCTGTTTCGCATTTTTTGTCCATAATCAGGTATATATTTGGAATTAGGTGCCCTTCGGTTTAAATCTATTTTCTTGTAAAGCATTTAATTAAAGGGTATCCTGAGGTCGACTCATTCCTACTGATTCTGTTTACTATGTTGCGCTTGCGCAATCCCAAAAAGCTTCTTCTTTGCGTTTTCTGCGATTCTTTTCTTTGCGGAGGCGCAAAAATAAGGAAAAGGAGAGGTGAGGTAGAGTTTTGGGGATGTCGGCACATGCGCTTTGTTTGTCGGTTGCTAGTGCACTGAAAAAATTAAATGATTTTTTTAATAATAAGATTAGGATTATATTTTAACCACATATAAAAAATACAAAGTACTTAAGGCCCGTGATTAAATATACCATTTGATGGGCACATTTGATCTAAAATCCTTTTGTCTTTTACAAAATAATTTATACTTTTTTCTGTGTAGTGGGTTCATTGCTTTTGTATGTCTGTGTGTTTGCAAGAATTCCCAGAAATATTTTACTTCGAAATTTGTTAACAAGCAGACAACAACAGAAGCGATTCGAATACATAGGGAACACAGTGTTTTTGTTTGTTGTTTGGCCTGGGCCATGAAGTGTATCAAGTGTTTGCTGGGTTAGCCTTCTTTTCTTTTTCGTCGGCTTTGTTCAGTGCCGGAGACTTCAAATTGAAGGTTAAAGTTGAGCCGGGCTGAACTGAAGCCTTTCGATTGAATTAGAAAGAGTTCTGTGGTTTGAGTGGATTTCTTAAAGGTTTACCGGTCAGGACTTTGTTTGAGTTTTAGAAATTGAATGGATAAACTGTGTTCTTCATTTTGACAGCTTTTGAAGTTTTCAAGGATTTCAAAGCCACAAGAATGCGAAGAGGATTTTTAACAAATATTAATTACTCCAAAGATCTGCGAAACTTCAAACTTTCCTTAATTAAGACAACGAAAATAAAAAGTATATTACAAATACAGAAATGCTACTTGTAAAACATATTAAATTTGTAAACTAAATCATTTTAGTGTTTACAAATGCCGTTTATGGGAATCTTGGTCTACTGAAGATATAAAAGCTGCAAGGAATGTGAAGAGCATTTAAAATCCCAACTCATTTAAATCCGGCTTTGCACACTTTAGAGCCGATAAAATGATTTATAAAGCCACTAGAATGCGGCTCACGGGGCACTCTTCACAGAGCATTGCTTACCAATAACTCATTCGATCTCATTCGATCTGGTAACCAGCCTTCAAAGCCAGCCACATCGCAACCGATGCCAATTCGAATCTCGACGCGTGTGGGGCACCAGACTCCGCAAATCGCTTCCAATTGCATTTACACTGCCAGACGATCCGTCGAAGCACTCGGGTGCATAGTTTTGATTGCAAATTGCAAAACTGACCAGTCATAACAAGTCTAATTAAGGCGATGTCTGCGCAGCCGAGCATATTTCTTGCATATTTTTAGATCCACCAGCTGGGCATTTGCATTCGCAGACGGCAGTATTCAATGTCAGAAGTACACTAAACGGAATATATAATTGTTTTGGAATTGTTTATCGGGCCACTTCCGCCATTCACTACTAGATTTTATCTACATTTTGAATTAATACTTTAATGCACTTTAATACAAAATCAAGAGCCATAAGGGACTACAATTTTTCATTCGAAACTTCTTGTTTAAAATAAGAAGAAAATAAAGATTTTAAAACGGTAAAGCTGGTTAAATGTAACGTTATTTTATAAAAACATTATCAACGAGAAAATATACAATTTATATTTAAAATTGCATACCCTTATCGTAATTTTGGTGACAAAAGTCGTTTTAGTAATTCGAGTAGTAGTTCAATGGAATCGATGGGTAGTGAATCTGTTTTTTTCATGTGCACTCGGTCAAATTAGAAAGGGAGATCCGCGAGGAAGATGAAGAACGGCGAGCTGTGAGTGGCAATGAGTTAATTTGCTGCCAAAACACACCCTCGGGCCTCATTAGCCTGCACTCTGAGTGAGATTTATAGACGAGCTGCCGGGGAATTAGTTGGAAATGCAAAAACCCTGGGGGTCACGAGCATGGGCGGATGGCGGAAGGGGCGGCAACAGCAGCCGCTCTGCGGGTTACCCAGCTAAATGAGCGCTTTAGCTGTCGGCCAAGCTGGCCAAGATTGCAGTATTGTGCCAAATGGCAGGGCTGATGAGCATGAGTAATGACCACCAGTCCAGCAAAAAAAGCCAAACTAAGTTCAAGTATAGGTCTTTCCAATCCCATAAATATACCATTTTTGAAGTCTTCATAACTGTGCTAAACAGTTTTTACATTTCCCAAGTGGTGCATTGAGTGCTAATAAATATATAATCAACCTGCAGTAGGAAAAAAGTATTTAAGTTACTCCTAATCTGGACGATATGGTCGTAGTTGATTATTTTCGGTCCCTGCTCCTCTGTTTTAAATTTTCTATATATCAGTTTACGTTAATTTTCATCCAGAAAAGGTCCCAATTTCATAAATTTCTCTTAAATTTTGTAATTGATAAGCCGGTAAAAAATGTTTATTACTCACCATGAGCAATGAACCAAGTTGGCTGCTCCCTAACAACATAAACATGTCCGCAGCTGGGGAAAAAAATTACTTTCCATTTGTTTTTGCATTTGCTGTGACATTTTGAGTTATTTGACACTTTGCAGGCGCATATCATCTTTCCCCTTCGAGCTGTTTCGCCATCGCTCTTTCGGTCTTTCTTCTTGCAGTTTATTAACTCATTATTTTGAAATCAACTTGGCCTGGCAGGCAAAACGTGTTGCAGAAGTTTCTGTCCGACCCGTTGGCTGCACAGCAGCAACATGTGCATCATGTTGCCGATGTCGCTGATGTTGCTGTTGCCGCTGTCGCAAGTGCAAAACTTGCACAACTTTTCTCTTCAGTTGTTTAAGATTAAGTACTTCGGCACTCTTTCACCCATTAGCGAGCGAATATTATTCATTAAAATTTTATACGAATGGCGGTGACCGCAATTGGGCACAACAAGAAGCCTGCCGCTCTTAATTGAAGCAATCAATAATTGCGGGCATATCTTTCATTTCCATCAGTGTTCCCTCCTCCTTTTTTCCCAAGGAAACCGCATTACGGTTGGTCTTCACCAGCGAACTCAGCATATATACCGCTCATAACAATCGAATTCGCACCTATAAACACAACATTAGCAAATTAATAAAAATTCAGTAGTTTTTAGCCGCTTTTCGAATTAAACATCGCATAAAATTTCAATCAAAACAAATTTTGAATACGCCGCTTATGCGAATCTAAGGTTAAGCCCCTAAAACTTTTATCTTAAATGCTGAAAAAATCCTTCACAATAACACAAAACCAATTAATTATTTGCCCATTTAACTGTGGTTGCTGTTTGGCGGTTATTTTTTTTGTGGATTGCAAAATTCAAGGAACAACAACAAATGCCACTGCCTTTGACTGCGTAACATTTTGTTGGAGTGAGTCGGCCAAAACACACTGATAAAAAAGTTACAAACCTATTCATATCTCCTCTGTTTTGAGTACAGTATATAAGTAAAGAAAGCAATATTTTAACAACATTAATTTATAATATAAACTACCAAGCTTAACACAGTAATACCAAGTTTTAGATAAAGTAAAATGTGATTTCAATGAGATTTTCCTCACTAAAACTATAGTTATTGAGAAACATAGGTTAATAAAAACAATTATCTTATTCTCATGGCAACACTTAGTGGATTTACACTGTACTTTGCGCCTGATTGTGGCAGTAGTTGTGAAGTTGTAGGCGTGAGTAGTTTGCCGATGTCTTTGGGTCTGTCGGTATCTTTTTCTGTGATGTTTCGA